CTGGTACAGGCTGATGTCACGGCCAAGGACAACAAGGACGGACACCAGTTGACCGACAAGGACGTTGCAAAACTGGTACAGGCTGATGTCACGGCCAAGGACAACAAGGACGGACACCAGTTGGCCGACAAGGACGTTGCAAAACTGCTCTCGATAGGTTTAAGCGGCTACAGCAGCAGTGAAAGAGTGGCGTCTTTGACACGGCAGTTTGAAGTGACAAAGACAACAGTGCAAGATCTGGGAAGGCGCAAAATGCAGCCAAACTTTCTCATGAAACAGTTCGGGCTAGCGTTGGGCGAGGCTCTGGCAGTATTGGACCTAGCCGACCCCAGGACGACATCGGAGCAAGCAGAAGGCATCGTGGCACGCGGTGCTGTGAAGCGCAAGATTGCCGCGCTGGATCTTACCCAGCCCCTGCCACCACCACCGGACCCCAGGGCGACATCGGAGCAAACAGAAGGCATCGTGGCAGGTTGTGCAGTGAAGCGCAAGATTGCCGTGCTGGATCTCACCCCGCCCCTGCCACCACCGCAACATGCGAAGCCAGCCCACACAGATGATGCAGCCAGGAAGCCTATCGCGAGTACTGCTCTGGTTCCTGAATTCGCCAAGCCTCCGAAGAATCGTTCGAGAAGCATCAGGCGGAGGAGCCCCACCACCCGACCAGCACGACGACGAGCAATTTGGCAGAGAGCCATCGCAGAAAAGGAGCGCAAACGCTGGCTTTTGAGACGTGTCGCTTTGCAGTTGTGACTCCTCGAAGTACAGTTGCGCATGTTTACACCCAGCATGGCTGCAATGTACTCTTGTAACCTTGGTTTCTCTAGTAAGGAAAAGAAGGGCCCTAATCGGTAGATCTACCATAGAATGCCGCAGTATACGATCTCTTGTGCTATCATGGCCACAATTCGTCCGTCAACCCTAAACCCTAAACCCCCACAATTCGTCCGTCCCCTCTCACTTCAGGTGCTGCCACACCGGATCTCGCCTCATGTCTATCCGGAGATCCGGCTCCCTGCCTGCGGTTGCAGCTGGGGTCTCTAAAGGGGTTTAGGTGTTGAGGGTTTGGAGTTTGGGGTTTAGGGGTTTAGGGGTTTAGGGCTTAGGGGTTTGGGGGTTAGTCTGAAAGGGTTTGGGGTTATAAGTGTTGAGCCATTCAACCTCAGACGAAGAGACTGCGGTCATAAGCTGGCTCTCAATATGTCATACCACACTGTTGCGTGTAGTAAGCTGCCGCATACTTGGGGAGTTTTGATGGTCTCAACCGGGAGCCGAGGAATCAGGCCAAAGTGTCTACGTACCTTTACTTGCAGACCCCGCCCGGGCGACTTGGTCGGCAGGACGAACGCAATGCTTCCTTTCAGAAGTATTGTGAAAGCCGTTTCAGCAGGAGGCACTTTTCTGCATTAGGCTGCATCATCTGTATGTGTGTTGCATGTTACATAACAGCTGACTGCAACATTGCCAGCCGGCGGATTTCACCCGAACATGAGCTGTGCAGATTCGCCCCGCTAAGGTGGGCCGTCTTGATGCTGCAGCCTCGGTCCGTAGTTGAAGTGCAGACGTTTGTGGGCCCTGCGGCCTTGCGGGCCCTTGCGGCCCTTGCACGCAAGGAGCGACATCCCGAACTTGAAGCGACGCCTGTTGCTCACCCGCTCTGTTGCGAACGGGGGTGTTCTGTGAAGCATTTGGTGGTTTTTGCAACTGCGCTGTCACTGTCAGGGTTCCGGATATTAAGCGCGCTGATTGACACTTGGAAGCAGCATGATCTGAGGAGTTGCTCGCCGTTTATTGTTGTGATAGCAACCATCTCGGGGTCAGGTCGCCGTGGCATTTGAGGAAGCAAAATGAGGTGTTACGGATTTGCAAGGGTTGGCATTTTGCATTTCCCAGTCGCTCATGTTGCAGACCACGTGTCGCAAGGACACCGACTGGTATTTCCCAGCACACCCCTGGCACGCAGTGGTGGAGCTGCCAAGGACGGCAGCATGGTGCACGTTCAGGGTCTGGGCTTTTCTGGGAGTCTTGCTGCTAAAACTAGAAACTAGAGGTGACAGAAGCACAAGGAGCGGGATACCGGAATTTCAGGGCGATGCGGTGTCTTGCTGTCATTCTCATGGAATTATGGTCACTTAAATGATTTAATTTGTGGCCGCTGACCATCATTATCATCTTGGTGTCGTAGGATCTTTTATCGTAATTTGAAGTTTAGTATTTTCCGAATTACTATCCTTCATCGTACTTATCGCACGCCTCGACATTGCTGCCGTTGCTTCTCGTCTTGTCGTGGCTAAGACCGATTAGTGTGAGAGGGCTTACTGTCGTCTTGACTGTTACTGCCATTACATACCAGTAGCCGTGCTGTGATACGTATGATGGAGACGGTTGTATCATGATGGGGGTTCCTGCCGACACGTAGGACCGCAGCCGGGGAGCCAATCGTGTTGAGGGAGGGCGAGCCGTGGCTGGGCTTTGATAAGTCAGGGGTATTGTAACAGTTAGCAGCCTAGGTTTCATGATAGGAATTGGGACCGAATTGGGAGTTGCATGTTGGTCAGTGTGAACTGGTGTTGCTGCTTTCTCAAAGAGTCTCGATGCGCCTTGTCTGGTGCTCTGCTCGGACATCTGAGGCTTTGCAGGCTGACGCCGGTGAGGCGCGGCACGTATGCAGCCCGGTGCCCAGCCAATTCGGGCTGGGACTGCAAGCGTAGCCCTCAGTGAAAAGTTGCAGTAGCATCCGCAGATGCGACGTTTGGTTCTGGCCTCACATCATTTCACATCTCGCACCTCCGGCCGCAGCACTCGCTTCAATGCTGCGCCAGAAGTGTAGAGGCCAGTGCGTTGGGGAGAGAAGAGATGGGAGTGCCCACGTTTTTGAGGCTTGGCCTCAGTCCCGGGGCGCAGACAGTAAAATAACGCCAAAAAAGTCTTCTTGAAAGTGGGCTTCGCCTGAGTAGGATTGCTTCCGACCCCCCTTTCGAGTCTATAGTTGTGCCACGTGGAATAAATTAGAGGCTCATGCCAGTGCAAGGGATCGGTAAAAAGGGGGAGCCGTGCTCCATGTTGCGGTCATTGCTGTCGGTTGAAGTTGAAGTTCCCTGTTCTTAGGTTTTCGACTGTAGAAGGCGGGAGTGCCATGATGCCGCTAGAAACCGCACTCTGAGGCCCGTGAGATGAAGCCAGAAGAGGCACGGATGTTCGTTTTAGTTTTGCTCCGGGATGTTTGTGCCGGATGTTTCGTCGCGAATTCTGCTTTCTGTACTGAGAGCACAGCTTCGGGCTCACCTTAAGAGCTGTTAGTGTCGAAAGCTTGCCAGTCTAGTTGATCTTGTCCGATCCACGGCGGACGTGCATGAGATGCTTGCTGCTTGTCTTGCGGCTTTGATGCTGCTATGCCTGCAACATGGATACGAAGGTCGTGCGTGTTCGTGTCGTACTGTAGACACGTTCACGCGGTGCTTCGCCTGTATTCGTTCTGTCCTGTGCAGTTCAAGAAGCTCTATCGTGGTGGCACGGAGCCTACAAGTCTGCTGGAAGCGTCTTCAGAGCTGAATCCGGATGACGCACAAGAGCATGATACTGGCAGCTGGAGCATGCCGAAATTGACTGAAGAGATCGCGTGAGCTGTTTTGGTGCTTGGTGTGTTGCACAAATGCAGCTCTGACAGAAGCAACGAGTGAAGAGGCCTCGAAAACACAAAGCCGCATCCTTCAGGTTCCGTAAGAAGGATGCAGGGAAAGTAACAGCATACCATGCAGACCCGCAGCCCGAAATCCTTCAAAGTCCTAACTCCACCCAAAGCCGATGACCCCCAGAAGGCCCCGAACACCCGCAAAGCCCTAACCCTCCTGAACCCAAAGCTGACCGCTATCCACGGATCATGACTTCCAGCCGGCTACGGGTCCCATTCAAAACACGTCACCCTGACAAAAAATCCTAGACAACCGCTAACCTCCTAAGAACCCTCCTGAAACCCAAACTCGAATCCCTAGAGCCTTCAACCCTCGAACTCAAGAGCTCCAGAGCTTGAAGCTTAAACCCTAACCCATAAACCCCAGANNCCCCCCCCCCCCCCCCCACCCTCCAAAGAAAGCAAGCCCAGAACCCTAAAACCTCAAACTCCAACCTCCCTGGGTGAGGTCAGGCCTGGCTCCAGAAGAACGGGCGCCCCTCAGAGGATCCCGAGGCCGAAGTAGGGGCAGCTTCGTGGTTTAAGGTATTTGAGGGTTGTTCTAAAGGTCCT